GAACGAGAGAGAGGACGAGAGAGAGAGAGAGAGAGAGAGAGAGATAGATAGACAGAGGCAGATGCGAGATGACAGGCAGGTTAAGAACGAACGAGTCCAAATCACTCGTGTGAGGGAGTGAGGGGAGCGAAAAAAAGTTTTTGCGAGCACACACGGGCGGACTTGGACATGCAAGAAAGAGCGACCATTCAACTATTCAAAACGACGTTTCACATGTTTCGACAGGGCGATGGAAGTTGCGCAGACTACATCGGCATTGCTCGGCCAAGCACGTTCACATGTATTCTCGCCACACGGTGGCAGACGAGACCGACCGCACACGACCAAGCACCGTTCACTTCTTACCGAGTGGAACAGAGAGCACAGCCGGTATCAAACTCCACGACAAGATGGCAGTCTCTCGTCCTGGCTCAATTCTACGCACTGCACACAAAGCTGATTTCCGTAACCGAATTCTTACGCTTTTGTTACTATAAGTTTTACAGCGACTCCCTGTTACTCCTTTCCGACTGTAATACGGTGTTTAGTGGTAGAAAGCTGGGCAAAGATAATAAATAGTCGCCGACCATTATTCATGAAGAAATTTGATAAAATTAGTGCATACGAAATAGTCCCGCCCATTACTACTTTCAAATCATTTACGCTGGTTTGACTAAAACGAAGTTCACGTATTTATCTATGGAATTTTCGGGATGCTTGCCAATATACCCAATTCTCGAACATTGTCTTTGATACATTTTTTCGTTATTCACTTAAACCATCTTACAATTTGGTCCACCAAACAAACATGCAAATCATAGAAATTCAATGTTTGTTTCGACGGCGACTTCGCGGCCGTTGTTGCCATTTGTCGATTTCCCCGGAGCCTCCGCCCACTGTAAAATAGTGCTAGCATTGTGCAGTGTATAGCCTGGAGTGTGGGAAGGGGGCGCTGCATGCAGTTTGAGCCGGTATAAGGACTCACAATGGACCAGCATGTTCAGATGTTTGCCACAGATGGCGCGGGCAGGGCACCATGCGTAATTGGATATGCTTCAATGTTAGGGCGCAGTTAGTAGTGCGTCTCACCACGTGTTCCCATGGTTGTTCGGAACGGTCTGAATGTCCCGTCTGCTTTGGTCACTGCAAAAAACGACGAGAAAACAGTGCACGTGAATAAAAATCTAAATAAAAACGACGCAAAAAATTTAAGATTAATGAAAATAAATAATAAATACCTAATAGAAAATAATCATCGATTTAAATAATTAATTAAGTAAAACAAAAAAAAAAATCAATCGATAATAGAAAGGTGGCCACGTACGAGTCATACTGAGTAAGTTCCCATCCGGAATCTAAAATTTTTTTTATGTATTCCGGCAGTTTCTCCGACGCACCACAGATGGCAAACACCTTACTCTGCTCGGGTTGCCGACGGTCCGAGGAATGGATCCCGCCGTGGAGCGACGATTGAGCAGGTGGTCTTGCACGGCTGCCGCGACGCGGGCGACGCCCGGGCGCGGGCTGACGTCACGGCCCGCGCGCCTCGCCGCGTCGACCGCTTCGGAGTTACGCTGAAGCCAGCGCCGGCCGCCGCCGTCAACATCCTTATCTGGCAACAATGCGACAGCGCGTACGCGTAAACAGTGTTCATGAGTAGTAAGACACATGTTGAAATAAGGACTTGATGAAGACCCTTTTGGAGGCCAAAATGAAGACCTTTTTTACGCGATTTCTGATAGATCAGCCAACTATTAAAGAAATACACTAATAATTATTTACTATACACAATGCCAAGCAGCAGATTTAAACTATTCACGTATATATGATACAACAATGTCTACTCCTAAGTCGAGAATTTCGCCAAAATCAGCACAGAAAATGTTGAAAAAAAAAATGCGTCCTTTGCAACAAAAATAAGGACTATTAAGGTTCCTAAGATTTCACCAAAATAAAGTACTAATAAGGGGGCCCTTATTTATTTTGGCAAAAATATCGTACTGTATAACACGTTGGCAAGACCCGCTACGAACCTTGGGTAAACATCGTCGTTGCGGCGGTGACCAGCCAGGCGGGCGCTGACGCCTTCGCGCAACGCTTAGCTGGTGCGGGTCGTTTTTTGTGCACCGGCGCGACAAATGTTCGGTTTACCCAGTGCGACTTGCTCGCGGAGGGCTGGCTGATGACACACTTCGATATTTAAGTTAGATTACTTTTACGGAAATGCTATCTCTACAACCAACTAGAATTACTACTTAGTTACCCTATGTCGACGTGTTACTTTCACCCTGTGTGGAAGGAGTTAGCTTTATGCCTGTGTGGCCGAGATACCTTTACCCTGATGTGTGATGTTAAGTTTACGCCCTGTGGGAGAGAGATAACTTACCCTGTGTGGCAGACGATACCTTTACCCTGTGTGAGGTTTTACCTTTACCCGTGTGAGAGAGATTACCTTATACCCTGTGTGGCCCAGAAGATACCTTTACCCTGTGTGAAGGTGTATACTTTTACCCTGTGTGAGATGAGATACCTTTACCCTGTGTGGCCAGAGATACGCTTTACCCTGTGTTGAAGGTGTTACTGTATGTGTACCCTGTGTTGAGAGAGATACCTTTACCCTGTGTGGCAGAGATACCTTTTACCCTGTCAGTGAAGGTGTTACTTTACCCTGTGTGAGAGAGATAACCTTTACCCTGGTGCCTGGCAGAGATACCTTATACCTTGTGTGAATGGTGATTACTTTGGGCCGGCAGCAGACTGATTGTGTCCTCTTCGATGTTTGAGATCATCTCATTCGGAGTTCCCACGCGCTGAGCAGCTGTGCCGCGCCGTCCCTCCACTTCTCCCTCTCCGGCCTTCCCTCGAAACCCGATAATCACAAGCCCATCACTCCACCCACACTGACCACACACGCTGCGCGCGCCATCCATCCGCCCGCATTCTACGCCGCGTACACCAGTCTGCTAGGCATTCCTTCCATCCCGCGCGTCCGAAAAACGTTGTGTCTCGTTCAATTATTCCCCCCCCCCCTTCTCCACGCACATGCACCACGCACGCACGCCACGCACCACACGCACCCACCACACACACACATACCCCCCACCCCCACCCCACCACAACCTCCAACACACACACACACATCCACCACCGCCACCCAGAGGGGTGATCGCAGGACGCAGAGGGGTGATCGCAGGATGCTGACGGGCGATCGCTAGAGACAGACGACTTAATCAGCAGCCCCAGCCTCCCCGGCAGCTGCGAGCGAGTCTAAACCGCCGCTGCAACTACGAGCGCTAATTAAAATCTGATCGGCAAACGTCGTCAAGGGGACGGGGGGAGGGGGGGGGGCATGATCGATCGAACGACGCACGCAGATTTTTTCGTCCGCCTAGTTTCTGTCGCTAGACGGACATGGTGTTTGGAAGAGGGGGGAGGCAAAGTGTGGGAAAAATGAAAGCCGAAAAGGTGGAGGAGGAAGGGGAGGGGGGAGGAGGAGGGAGAGGAGGTGGAGGAGGAGGTGGAGGAAGAGGTGGCGGAGTAGGAAGAGCAGGAGGGAGGGGATGAGGAGTAGGAGGAGATGGAGGAAGAAGAGGTGGAGGAGGAGGAGAAGAAGGAAGGGAAGGAGAGGAGAGGCAATGGGTGATCAATATATGGATTGCAACAGAACAACGTCAAACACAGCAGAACAGCATGGAACCCAACAAGTCGACATGAAGCACAGTGAAACAGCATGGCAATGATGTAAACACTTACAGCATGGTGATAATATGAACAGCATGGAGCACATCTGGCTACCTGCATGACACATATATGGGCAGCATGGAGTATAACTATACAACAAGTGCCGCGGAGCGACAGCGCTCATCTAACGTCTACTGCGGTGACTCTGTGGTGGAGTGGTGGGATTCTAGTAAACCCTGTTAGTCCCAAATGTGTTCACATACACGCCGAAACAGTGGAATGCACAGGGATGGTATCAGAAACCTTCTCAAAGGAATGTTTGTTGGGATCGTTATGAAAGTTGCCACGAGATGGCGCGTACGTTTAAGTGTCTTCAGATTAAAGATGGAAGCTCCCATCGTACGTAGTAGCAACAACTATTTGCAAGACAGAATAGGTAAGCACTCATCCATTTACCTACGCAAGCCTACAAGCTGAAATAGAGAGCTGCCACCTGTAACTAATTAAACGCAGGCAAAAACTACACCTTAGAAAGAATTTGACGGCCGGGTTTGCTAGTAGTATCTATACATGCCTGGATGTGTGAGGCTACAATATTATGTCACAGTGAAATTTCAAAAGCTAAATTTGGTTGAAGAAGGTTTATGCTCCTTAAATCGTATAATTTCTATGGGCATTCTGTACTTTCAGTGTGTTTATACATGTAACTTATGCCACTGCCAGTGCCCACTGCCAGTGCATGTGGTGGGGATAGTATGGAGTGATTGAAAAACTTTTTGGTTTCAGCGATGACCTACCATTTTTATGGCTTTATTGAAAGGACCATGAAATGTATTTTCTGCTGACATGCGAAGAGTAAGTGTCGGATAACTTTTTGACCCTCAAGAGGAGGGTTAAACATGGATTTGTTTACTGGTCAGACCATGTCCTCAGAAAATGTCTAAAATCTGCCCTGTGCCCCATTGACCTTTGACCTGTGACCTCCAATTTCGGCACAGTGATAATATTTCCTACCATGATGCTATACACCGACTATCACTAGCCTAGGTCGAGCCGTTTAGATTTGTGATGCAATTCTGCATTTCCTCCCTATACCCTAAGTGAAGGAGGAAATGTTCCCCCTTCTTCTTGACCTTTGACCTTTGACCCCAAGCTTCGACATCCCAACTCGTTTTGATGATCCCCCCTCCCCCAACGTCCCAAATATCGTGACTGTACGTCGAGCGGTTAAGATTTGTGCACAACTGTTGATGCACGGACGGAGAGACGATCATGCGATTCTACAAGCTGCATCCGACTATGTCAGATGAGCTAAAAATGAAAACATTAATGCCTTCGTATATTGCACTTGACCTCATTTTACTCAAACCATTCGATCCCTTGCACAACCATCAGTAGCAGAAGTATATTCAACAAACAATCCAACCTTGCTTATGGTAATGGATGATCTGTACTTTCAAATAAAATCGATCAATCTTCGTTAGAAGACGTTTATTAGGCACATTAGCAGGTAAATGGCCTTTGCACAGTTTAATGCCCCAGCATTTCCGATCGGTGATAACAATTGTTTACAAGCACCATAATCTTATCATTACTTTATTTAAGCTAGTAGATGTATATTGATATTGTAGACCCACGCACAAGAGAACATGGGTGACATTTATTTGCAAGAACATTTTACTCATAGTGGTGAACTGATCTTCCCAGGAAAAGAAACATTTTACAAAAATATTTTACATTTTACATTTTACATAAATAATGAACATAAAACATAAAACATAAAACATTTTACATAAATATTGTGACAATTTATTTGCAATAGATACTGTTAGGTGGAAGCCGTCAATAAACGTGAATTTTTCTCCCGTAAATATTTATCCAGCATAATTAGCTATACAGACTAATTATTTTTAACCATAGCTTGCGATTCAAAAGTAAGCATAAAATCTGCTATTTGAACATCTTCAATTTCTCAATCAAAAAAGGCATTTGGTGTTATATATAAATTACTGCACGACTGCAGATGCAACATACAGACAAGATCAACAAGTGCAATATGAACTAGTTTATGACTTAAAGAAAAGGGATACCTCACTTAGATTAGTTACCTACTGCTGCTGTTTACTCCTCCTGCTGCTGTTGATGCTGCTGGTGGTTGTTACATCGTTACTCCTCCCCTACTGGTACTCTGGTTGCTGTTGTTACTTCAGCTGTCGCTGCTGCTGCTGCTGCTCCTAGTTGCTATTACTACTACTGCAGCTGGTTGGTGGTGCTGGTGGCAGTGATGATGCTGTTGCTGTGACTGGTTGCTTGTATTGTTACTGACTATGCTGCTGCTGTTGCTTTTGTTACTGCTTCTGCTGCTGCTGCTGCTGGTGGTGGTGGTGGTGGTTGCTGGAATTGCTGCTGGTAATGATGCTGCTGCTGCTGCTCATTGCTCGTAATGCTGCTGCTACTGCTGTTGCTGTTACTAATGCTTATGCTGCAAATGGTGTCATTGCTGCAGCAATATCCATCACACCAGCACATCCTAATCAGTTGGCACATGAAAGCACCTCTAAAATTTGATGTGCTAGAGACTTGCTGCCATCTTCCCAATCAGCGTTGGCCGGTATGAGAACAACCCGCTGGTCAGCCAATAGATGAAGATTGGCTGCAGAATCGCAATGAGGAGCAACAGGTAGATGCGTCGCTTGCTCCCTGTCAGCTGGTCAGCCTCCGCCTCTGGCAGTATCTGTACTTTTAGTGTGCGCACCTAACACACACAGAAACAAACACGGCTACATATCACTGTTTCAAATGACTAGTCACTTTGCACACACTCTTCTCTACGAATTATAGACATGTCTAATGATGTTTTACCTAACAGACAAACTTACATATATTAGAAATGTCTCTATCGGTAACTACTCATGGGCTTCAACAGAGTCTAGTTCACATAAATATGTGAATAATTACTAGAATGATATATATATATAGGTATATATTATATATATATATAGGTTAGACATTATAGTAACATTTGTTGCTATAGTGTTTAACTATACTATAACATATAGTAACGTTTCCGAGTTTTAATCCTGTACTGAGATTTATATTATTTGTAGTAATGGTTACGGGTGTTGGACTGAGTGTGAAATTTCAATCTAGTATACCGATGATGAGAAACACTTACCAAAAAGAACATTATGCTGCAGCTCACCCAGCCTAATGCAACGTAGAATCCCATGTTGTTAAAAATCATACACGCAATAGCAACCGCAATCATTCTGGAAAAACAACATTGATTGTTTATTACTCCAACAGCAGGCAAGTATGGTTCATACAACTGCAACTAACTAACAATTAAAACGTAGTGCACAACAGCTGTAAGGTTTTAAGGTATGTAATTTACAATATTAATTTAATAACCTATATTGGCAATATTAATCGTATTATAATTTTTCCCTGCTTTTCCTAACATTATTTTCATGCGCGCATTTTAAAACTGCATTTCCTGACCAAAGAGCATGTAAATATTTGTTGATCAGACATACTACCAGTTCTTGATTACTACATATCTAGATCAGTAGATCTAGAAAATGTCACATTTAGCACAAACAAGCCTTAGGGAGGTTTGCACCCCGTTACAAGGCTTTGGTACAACCTATGACGAGAATCAAAGATAAATTTTTACAGCGTGGCCGGCAACGCTGTAGTCTGCGGCATAATAAAAAATCACCCTAGCCTGCAACATAAACTTATTATCTATAAAATCTTTAATTGACCAGCTAGAAATTCACATTTAAATCACTATAACACGCCCAAATTACCCCCCCCCCCCCGTGTAGAACGCAAACGGCCGCACGACAAAAACACACGTCCATGTTGGCGCTCTCATTGGCGGCAGCATATTAAATAAATTATTGTTTAATTACTTGCCAAATGTATTACTGTAACGATTATTTATATCTTGTTGTGTTTCAATCATAATGTGATCACTACGCAGTAGACTTAGCTTCTCCTTACAGCTACTATATACTCCATAGCTCACCACCAACCCATGTAGTGGCGGTGGAAGACCGTCCACCCCTCCTGGCAAAATGCAGGGTGCCTACAATCGTCTCAATTCAATTATGGATGTGTGTTTCAGTCGTGCGATCGTTTGCATTGGGGCCAATTTGGTCATGTTATCGTGATTTAATTCCGGTAGTGCTACATATCCACCAACTTGTTCATGACTACTAACACAGAAACACCCTATCCACTTACTTGGTTATGACTATTTATACGGAAAACACACATATTCGCCTACCAGTTCATCACAAATCACATGCTAAAGACACAAAACAAACTTACCCTACGTATTTGTAGCCACAGTAAGCGAGCACATCAAGATACTTTAGATCGGTTTTCATGTTCATAATGTAGAGAACAAGCATCAGGCAGGCCACCTCAATGACCAGCCAGACAAGCAGCGAGCTTGCTTCCATACCTAGCTGCTCAGGTGAGAACCTATAATGGTTTGGGCAATCATTTAACTCAAAAGATGAAAGTTAGAGATCAGCAATGAGAGACAGTGAAGTGGACTCCTAAATATCGAGTGGCACACAGAATCACCTAAGTCAATATTTACACGTTCACAGTAAGACGCTATGCAATGATTACATTAGATGGTAATACGCTTACTATGTTATGCATTGTCTTGTGACTGCAATTACATATTCAGGAATTATTTTAGGTTGCTACTTATATATGCCCCCGAAACTTACCTTTGCTGTGTTCCTAGCACTACTCCAGTCACCAGCAAATATGTTACAAACGCCATCACTGAAACAGAAAGTTCCAGATTGCAGTGCTATGCTATATAAATACATGCAGCAGCACAGTATGAAATGCAAATTGCAACTAGGAGTATACGATGGTTACATGTAGTTTAATTCGGCTAGGATTGGGTTAAGATAAATTGATAACTGAAAAATAAATGCCATAGCATTAACTTCATAAATGATGTAAACCACAGAAATCACAGAGTTGATATTTAATCTTCCATTTGAACACAATTTCATTTTGCATTTTACATATACTACACACCAATTACATGTCTAATGCAGGCTTATGCAGCCTATATTCAGCTTTTGTTGCCTATGAAATAAAGTGAAGACTGTGAAGGTGATCAAGGATTTACACCTTCTATTGCAAATTCCCTCCTATTTCTTTTTATCACACACTCGCTTCCTGTTAAATGCTGCTTAATTCACTAATCATAATTACTTTGACAGTTCTGACACACTGCATTGTGATAGGGCACAATGGCTTTAATTTCGTTCTGGAAAACCTCTCCGGGTGTCAATGACAAAAGGCCAATTCTACAAGCTATTTCTTCTGCTGACACAGCATGCGCTGAAGTACCCGCTACTGCTGTTAAAATCCCTCACCCAGCAAGACACAAACAAACACTACCATTTAGCAGCTGAGTGCGGAAGGATGAATAAGTGCAGGAGGAGCAGGTGAGGAGGTGGAAGTGGAGGAGGAGGAGGAGGAGGAGGAGGGGGAAGTGGGCATGGTGAAGTATTCACTACTGCTGCTGCAGTTAAAATCTCTCACTCAGCGAGAAACAGATGAACAATACCACCTATCAGCTGAGTGGGGGGGGGGAGTAGGAGGAGGAGGAGAAGAAGAAATCAGAGGAGGGAGAGATATGGTATTGGGAAAGAGGAGGTAAAACGTAGTGTTAGCAAAACACAAAATGCAATTAAAAAACTTATGGACGTTTTATGATATACCCTGCCAAATCCCATAAGTGTCCCCGAGCTCTTACTAGCTGCAATTTATTTACTTGATACAGAGTGCTGCATAGATTGGGTGTTCCATGATTGTCTAATGTGGCAGATTCTAGTCGATTTGAGGAATCACTTTGAGGACTAATCTGCTACTAAACACCTATTTTTCTTGTTTAGTAACAAAAAATCCAGCCTCTGCTTTTAAAGTTACGAAAATGTTACGGCACTGCACTGCTACCTGCTGATACAAATGTTTCCCTACTAAAACATATGGACTCCGTTGGGAAATATATGATATATATACATGAAGATATAGGAGTATACACACGCACGCACACACGCACGCACACACATATAGTATATATAACATGTATAATGTATATTTGCCGTGCACGAGTATATGTTCACGCTATATATCCTTATATATCCTTTGTCCTAAATTTCACAAATTCTAATATAATACTGTCATTTCCATTACAAACCATTATGTAGTTGAAGCCAGACCGGGCGTCCTACTACATCCCCAAACAGGGTTCGAATTTTGGCTGAAAATCTAGTGCACAGCAGGACCACCAACTTCAGAATGTTGGTGGTCCTGCACAACAGTTGGTGGTCCGCTTATTTACTAGCAGTGAGTATCAAAATAGTATACAAAAATAACCATTGGCATTAACAGCATACATGTAACTTAGAGTTGGTCAAACAAATAAAAGCTCTAGGAATGTCGGGGGAGCTTGTGGGAAAGGTTTTACTTCGTTTTTCTCCTCCCCAGTCCAAGGTACCCCCATGCATAGATCAAAGTTACAAGTGCCTATAGAATCTTGATACAGTTTACATTGCTTCTAGATATAAATAATGAAAGTGTCAATGACACTGTAGCTCACCACAAAAAAGGACACAAATGAGTGAGTGAGTCAGGTTTAATTGAGCAACCATCGACGTACATTATAGAAACGAAGAGTATATATGGGAGAACTCCCATTATATACTCTTGATAATTATGTGTAATTTTTTATGTGAAAATAAATGTTTGAGATGTGAAAGTCTGAGATGTGGGCGAATGATGGCGTTACACCTAAATGATCGCCTTTAACGTTTTTATAGTATTCAGATTTAGGCACTGCCTAAAAGCGGAGCGCCCGATGTGTAACGTGTAAGATTGAGAGGATACGCTTATTCCACGTAGCTGCTATATACCATGTGACAATGGTGTTTCCCTGCAGCTGCCCATAAAACAACTTTTGTCAAAGGTTAATTGGTTGCATGGAAGTGTTTACTTCGTATGAGTTTTTCTAGGCGGTAGCACACGATTGCCATCTGTATATCGCACAACAATAATTTATAAACCAAAGTGAATCACAATTTGTGACGGTAGATGGCGCTATACCCGCTTTGATGTTTCTTAGCGATGGCGTCGAAATAAATAGGTTATGCTGCGTTCCGACATGTTTTGTAAAACTTTACTCTAATATAGACGTTTTATCGGCAGGGTGGAGAGGAAATACCAATTTTGCATTAAAGATATTGTCAATGAAATCTTGTAAAACGAACCAGACGAGTGTGACACCACAGACTGTTTGTTATCTGATTGTCTATATAATATGCTATATAATTGCCAAAACCTACCTAATTTGCATAATTTTTTTTAAATATGAAACCCCCAGCCCTTATTCATTCACATACAAAAATGAGCAAAATCCGTTGAACCTGAACTGACTAATGGCAATTCCCATTTTTGCCAAAAAATTGCCGTGGCTCGAAAGTATGTCGATTGGCGTGCTCCAAAATAGGACGTTCAAACCTCTCCCATAGCAGTAACAACTATCCCAATTTCAAACATGTGGGTCAAACGGTTCCTGAGTTATCGTTGACCGTAGCCAAATGTTGACGGACGGACGGACAGACATACAACGGACGACGACCCGTGGCAATAGCTCAGCTTGACGATGCCAAGGTGAGCTAAACAAGAGCCGCAGAGCGTCTGGCTCATCTGAGGTCTGTTGCGTACGGTTATAAACGTAAAATTTCAGTCGTGCGTAGTACCACATTTGTTAGGCGCAGATATGCAGACACGCAGTTGCGTACACATCATTGTTAGGACATGCCCACTATCGCAGATGGAGGGTAGGGGAGGGTGGGGGAGGGTGGGGAAGGGGCGGGGGGAGGGGTGGGGGGGGGGAAGGGGAGGGGTGGAGGAGGGGGCTCTAATAGCAAAGCAGTTCACTCCTTTGTTAACAGACAACAAATCCATGTTTAACCCTCCTCTTGAGGGTCAAAAGGTTATCAGACACTTACTCTTCGCACGTCAGTGGAAAGCACATTTTATGGTCCTTTCATAAAGCCATAAAATGGTAGGTCACCGCTGAAACAAAAAAGTTTTTCAATCGCTCGGTCACACCATGTCCTCAGAAAATGTCTAAAATCTGCCCTGTGCCCATTGACCTTTGACCTGTGACCTCAATTTCGGCACAGTGATGGCTTTTCCTACCATGATGCTTATACACCGCTAATCACGAGCCTAGGTCGAGCCGTTTAGATTTGTGCCGCAATTCTGCATTTCCTCCCTATACCTTAAGTTAAGGAGGGAATGTTCCCCTTCTTTTACACCTCTTGACCTTTGACCTTTGACCCCCCAACTTTGACATCCCAACTCGTTTTCGTATTACCCCCCCACGTCCCGATATCGTGACCGGTACGTCGAGCGGTAAGATTTGTGCCCACCTGTTGATGAACGGACGCACGGACGGACGCACAGCCGGACGGACGCACGGCCGGACGCACGCTCATGCGATTCTACAAGCTGCATCTGACTATGTCAGATGAGCTAAAAATAGTCCACTTTCTAAGTAAAGAAAAGTGACGAATTCAGTTAACAGCTTTAATTACGTGCGTGTCAGGTATCACTGGTCATGCCCTCACTCCCCACGATAACACCTGCGACATATGAACTTATTGTTATGCGGTCATAAAAACACTGGGATCATGCCACAATCAATTTCTTAGACTGTCACGAAGTTTTGTTCGTGTGGCGAATCATGCGCCTGAGGGAGTTCATGCCCTCGGCTCTAGACGATTGGCATCCCGGATATCCGCGGGATTCCCGGAAGCGCGAAAAATACCGCGTAGCGGCACACTAACACAACTATGCTGCACCGATTCTACGCAATGAACAGGTCCACTATAAACGCAGAAACTCTGCAATCGGTCCATTGAGCAGTTCTGGCCACTGCACGACGGGTTTCACTACCCAGGTAGCTAGACATTTTCTCGAAGTGCTCGTACACAATTTTTGGCTACTCGGTGCGCTTTGTTTCCTGTAAAAAAACCAGTTTAACTTTTTTGTTGACATCACTGTGCATCAGTGTACATCAGTGTAGTACATATGGCGTGCGATAGATGGTGCAACGAGGCTATATGCATAGCATTTGGCGAGCACTTTGCGTGTTGGCATCTCGGCGGCCGGCTATAACCTAGACTCGTACCTGGTCGACAGTTCGGTGCAACGATAGAGAGCATGACGAGACACTGTTTACTCGACTACACAACAAATTGTGTTTACACAGGTCTTCACTCAGGGTCATACAATTGTATCCACACCTACGAATACTTCTATTACTACAAGTACATGTTACAATAATTACTAGTAAGTACTACTACTACTACTACTACTAAGTACTATCACTACTACTACTAGTACTAGTAGTAGTTACTACTACTACTACTAGTACTACTACTACTAGTTACTACTATAGTACTAGAGCTACTACTACTAGTACTAATACTATATAGTATAGTACTACTACTAGAGCTAGTACTACTACTAGCTCCAAGAGATGTGAAAGAGACTTCAAAGAGCTAACTGGGCGCACAATCCGCATACTATTTCGTAGCACTATTTTATCAAATTTTCCATTAAATAATGGTCCGATTTTTATTATGTTTCGAAGTTTTTATGTTTGGAACTTATAGTAAAAACGCCTAAGACCACACGAAAATGGAACCACGGCGAAATCAAAAGCTTCGCTCTCGCCCCCCATCTGTACGACCCCCCATCTAAGTGGCGAGTTCCTCCCACGTCCCACATGTCTGCTCTCTGTGTCTCCCGCTAAAATTCCGGACTGTTTGCTGGCAGCTATGGATCCGTGCGCCGACCTATGCATTCGGCGCACGGATCCATAGCTGCCAGTGCTGTATACTTTCGTAGGACGTTCCCGCGGTCGCATGCGCCTTGCCGCGGAACTGCGCGCAAGATCCACGCTCAGCGGTTACGATCAACACCTCGTTTCGGCAACACTTCTGGTATCCCATCTCATCTGGATGTTTTGGATACCCCGTCTACGCTCAGGAATGGAGCGTATTAGAATAACCGTAGTATTTCAGCGTAATATGAGGGGAAAAAGTGTTGGGAGGACAGGCAGTTTCGTAAAGATGGTGGCCGAAGCAAAAACTTGGTGGCCTCGGGCCTCCGGGTCGGCACTAATTTCGAACGCTGTCCCCGAACAAAGCTTTTGATCTTACCTGGTATATATAAATCAGGAGCGTTTACTTCATATCTTGGTGCAACAGGCTCATGCTGGTTATACTTAATAGACCAATCCTGTAAAGAAGTAAGAAGGCAGATTCAAAAAGTTGACGCACGCTCTAAATATATTCATGAGTGTTCTTGCTACTCTGGAACTAATACTCCCCAAACTAATCATCATGCTGTGACCAAATTACATTGATAAGGAGACAGAAAACTGGTGATTGTTAGATTAAACCACTACTGTTAACCTTTAGCATTATTTGCATTTAAATCTGGATTTCATTTTGCTATATTTACACTGATATTTGCAGTTCAATTCTAATTAAAATAAATGAAATCATCTTTTTGTAACTTGTCAATGGTTATTTGATAATAACAAGCTTGTGCTGCCACCAAACAATGATAATCTAAGTGCAATGTGTGTGATAGTAATCTTCTGTGTAGTATATAATTTAAGAAAGTAAGGCAGTCCCCTGGGAGTGAAAAAGGCAATATTTATAAGTGATGAACACATATAGAAGTATGCACGTGTGAACATATTAATTTTTCATTAAGAAATGGAACACCTTGACTCCCTCCAGGAATGTAACAGCAGTATCAGTCCCTCTAATAGAATAAAATTGTGGTAGCTGACTCCATTTTAGAAACTTATTACTAGTAGACCCATGATGTTCTCTGATACTGTACAGGAACTTACTCATGTGCACAAACGTCGTTAAAGTGATTACGCCACCATAAATAGTAATAAAAAAATAAAAAATTCCACTTTTTCACAAAATATAAGTAATTCTGTTCACTTTTTATGGTTAAATTGCTGCATTATACTTCTTATTTTACTATTATTGTTCGATGTGAACACACACTCGTGACTCAGACATAGCCCATAGCAAGCAATTAATGTTAGGAACACTAATATCAAATCGTCCAAGATTTTTGGATTTTTAACTAGTTGAGAAACAATCTTATCAGGTAAGAATTTGACGATACGTTTAGTCCCATTAGTTCTTACTTTTAATGTAAAAAAAATTGCAACAAAATTTTTACAAATTTTACCATAGAAAATTCGTGACGTAGACAATTTAAAGAATTCAGATGAGTAGAACAATTTTTAACATTACTGGACGGTCTCAAGACATAATCAGAAGTGAACTTGGGAGAAAAACTTGTGAGTACTATACTTATCCATGGCATGTGACTGTAGTCATTAATAGACAGTATATCTACACATCAATCAATTACAGAGTGCAAGGCCAAACTGCAAACAACTTTATGGGTCAGTATTATTTACATAAACACATTTACAAGATTACTACTTGCCACAAATAGATAAAATGAGCTAACGAAAACGACTTGGGGAAAACTTACCATGTGGGAGAAAGGGAAGAACAGCAATGCTAGTTTCTTGCCGACGTAACCATTGTCAACAGCAAAATAGTATTTTAGCCGTGAGACTGGAACATATTTGTCGATCTGTAATGAAAACCAATACGACGTGTGTAATCCGCCCCCAAAATGATGTGGTTCTTACCTCATTTACGGCTATATCATTGAGCAATTCTGTGGTTAACATATTTGGAGCAAATTCCACTGCCATTTCCACAAAATTTTACAAGATGGTCTATGTTATAACAATTTACCCTTCAATATGGCGATGAACTTTACGATGTTTCTGACAACGGTCCCCTGAACTTTAGGTTCATAGTGATAGCACAGACTGTTAAACACACAGCCTCAATTTAGCACGGGGACATTAGTCAAGTGACAAGCAATGGATAAATCCGAGAAAATTAAAGACGTATATAATATTTGTTTTCAAGATAATCATTGGTCATATAGCAATGTTTTCCTTAAAATTATCATCCCTGAAATAAAATGAGTGTCAATGACACTGTAGCTCACCTTGGGTGTGATAGAAGAGCGAGGGGAGATATATAAAGCAAGCGTATATATGGGAGAACTCCCATTATATAGCATATGTCCCATTATATACTCTTGATTAAACAATATATACATAAGTTTTGATGCGGGAAAAATGTTTCAGATCTGAAAGTCTGAAAGCTTGACGGGAGATGGAGCTACGCCTAAATGATCGCCATTTTGGTTTTCGAATATCGCGCAAATAAAAACAATAAAATATTCCAGTCAAATTACTGTAACGAAGAATCTAAAACACAATATTACACGTATATAGGTATGATTGTAGAGTTGTTAACCAGTTAGATGAAATAACGTAATAGGACGTTGTCATCTCTCCCATGAAGGAGTAACAACTGTTTTGGGGCTAGTCTTACACAATTACAAAAAAAAATTTCGTTGACTGTAGGCAGACACTGAAATGCATAATAAAATTGCCAAAATCTACCTAATTTGCATAATTAAAAAAAAAAATCAAAACATGTGGGGGCCAGTCCTTTATTCATTCACATACCAGAAATGAGCAAAATCCGTTGAACCTGAACTGACTTATGGCCATTTTCATTTTTGCCAAAAAGTGGGCGTGGCTCGAAAGTAGGTCGACTGCCGTGCTCCAAAATAGGACGTTCAAATCCCTCACGTAGGAGTAACAACCGTATGGAATTTGAAACATGTGGGTCAAAGGTTCTTGAGTTATCGTTGACTGTAGGCAGACACTGAAATGCATAATGAAATTGCCAAAATCTACCTAATTTGCATAATAAAAATATATAAATAAAAACCCGTGTGGTATGTTTTGGGGCCAGTCCTTATTCATTCACATGTACCAAAAATGAGCAAAATCCGTTGAACCTGAACTGACTAATGGCAATTCCCATTTTTTGCCAAAAAAATTGCCGTGGCTCGAAAGTATGTCGGGTGGCGTGCTCCAAAATAGGACGTTCAATATGGGAGCATAGCAGTAACAACTATACCCAATTTCAAACATGTGGGTCAAACGGTTCCTGAGTTATCGTTGACCGTAGCCGAATGTTGACGGACGGACGGACGGACGTACACACGGACAGACGGACGTACGACGGACGATGACCCATGGCAATAGCTCAGCTTGACGATGTCAAGTTGAGCTAAAAATGAGTACACGTAGACTTTTTGCCAACAAAATATTGAAATGCTGCCAGAAAACAAGTGCACATGTTTACATAAAGTAAATTGTTTTAGACTATTGCCATGTCTCGACATGTAGACAAAGGTAACATAGTGTAGAGACAGGGTACTGGTCGATGGCATCTCGAGAGAGCGAGAACCACACACAAGAGATGATGATATATGACTAATCTGAAATGCAGATCATTGCACATATTGGTGAAAATAATATTTAAGTATTCTGTTATATATGTTAGTCTTACTACACTATATACATTTGGTACGCAAGAAGTACTGGTACGAATCAAAACGGTTGGGAAAACGTGTGAAATTCAGATAGAAAAATACAGAAAACAGGTAAATAATAAAAAATCTGATGGGATTCGATCCAAGGACCTGAGTAATAATCCTGTGCTGTAGCCGTTAGGCTATCGAGGCATATTGGGTTTCCAGATTATGGATGTGCCATGACTGTGACATCATTGAGGCAGTTCAGGGATCAATGTTTAACCCACCTCTTGAGGGTCAAAAGGTTATCAGACACTTACTATTCGCACGTTAATTGAAAGCACATTTCATGTCCTTTCAATAAAGTGATAAAAATGGTACCTCCAGGTCAGTGCTGAAACAAAAAAGTTTTCACTCTGTCCGTTAGCCCATGTCCTCAGAAAATGTCATATCTGACCTTTCCCCCACTGCCCTTTGACCTGTGACCTCCAATTTCGACACAGTGATGGCTTTTCCTACCATGATGCTATACACCGACTATCATGAGCCTAGGTCGAGCCGTTTAGATTTGTGCCGCAATTCTGCATTTCCTCCCTATACCTTAAGTTAAGGAGGGAATGTTCCCCCTTCTTTTACACCTCTTGACCTTTGACCTTTGACCACCAGCTTCGACATCCCAACTCGTTTTCGGTTTACCCCCCTACGTCCCGACTTTCGAATCCGTACGTCGAAAAATTTAGATTTGTGTCCAACTGTTGACGGACGCACGGACGGACGCATGCACGCACGGACGGACGCACGCTCATGTGATTCTACAAGCTGCATCTGACTATGTCAGATGAGTTAAACATTAGAAATATAATATTTTTTGTTTGCTTTCCAGCTATTCTCAAAGTTGGCATACTTGATGCAAATGTAACCATGTATGTACTATTGTATATAGGTCTGCATACAATTTGAACTATGGCATGTCAGTTTTTTATCCGAGTTGCCATGTTCTCAATTTGATGAAATCTTCCTTTGATACAGCAATGGTGATCAATTTTGTTTGATCTAGATGATGACATACTGCTTACATAAAGTGATCTCATGGTTTCTACAAAACTTTAAAACAAACAGGCATATGGTAATATATATTTGTTTTGCATATCAATAAAAACCAATCATAAAAATTGTCTAAAATTGTGTTTCTTCCATGCGTGTTTTGGGTGTCCTCATGATTGACTAGAGCTGAGCCAACAATGGACATAGAACAATGCAGACCAATGTAAAATTATGGCTTATGACCTTGTCAGCTTCCTGACATACCTGACATACCATGCCTCATTCTAGCACTGATCACCATACTGTTAGCACCAGTTCTACATTGTAGGTTCAGCTTTAGTCCAAAAAATCCACTACTTCACTGATGGTTGTGCTGGGCAGTACAAAAACAAGAACAACTTTATAAACCTCTGTCACCACAAGGAGGATTTCGGATTGGCTGCGGAATAGAACTTCTTTGCAACATCACATGGCAAGAGTGCCTGTGACGGTATAGGAGGGACTGTCAAGCGACTAGTCACCAAGGCTAGTCTGCAGCGCCCATATAATGACCAGATTCTGACAGTGGACGGAATTATGGATTTCTGTGTGGAGAATATAGATCTCTGGTATCACGTTTTTCAGTGTGACACCAGAGGATGTAACTCAATCAGCTTCAGAGTTAAAGGATGGGTTTGACATGGTGAAAACGATTAAAGGGGCACTGCAATACCACAGATTTGTTCCAGTCTCCAACTCTACGCTACATGTGTACAAGTTGAGTAACCAAGCTGGCCCTGCAGATTTAGTACATGTTTCAGACAGTAATGATGCAGAACTAGAACCAGAACCATCTGTGCAATCAGAAATAAAGGAACAAAACTTTGTCTGCTGTCTTTATCAATTATGACGAATTTCCATGGATTGGCATGATGGACGAAATTTCGGAGGAGTTTGGTGACTACCACATCAATTTCATGCACCCTCATGGACCAACCAAGCAATTCAAATGGCCATTGGAAACAGATCAATGCTGGGTTACAGAAGATGATATTCTGTGTACAATCAACACCCCATCTCTTAACATCATCCTCTTCCAGAAAGTACTTTATCTCAGAAAACGATGCTGCGAGGATTTCAAGTGTGCATCCGGACTGGATCATTGATGATCAATGAATTATTGATAAATGAGATCATAATGGTAACATAATGATTTTGCATTAGACTGAATAGTCATTTAGAATGTTATCCCCACCTGTCATTCTCAATCAGGTTATGTACAGCAAAGCCAATGTTTGGGTTTAACTTGGTATCTTAAAAATAGATTGGAATGGTATACATATGTGCCTACACGTACAGCATTGCATAGGAATAGGCGTTATTGCACCTAGTATGCCAACTTTGAGAAGAGCTGGAAAGCAAACAAAAAATATTATATCTCTAATTTTTGTATATTATGTAGAAAACATGTTGAGGTATAATTTTCAATGAAGTTCATCTCAAGGTTACGTGATCCACAAGGTCAAATTCAAGGTCAAAGTAAAGGTCAAAAGGTCATCAAACTGTATACTGCTTCTTCATAACAAATAATGGCAGATATGGATGCAATTCGCTTTCCAAAGACACCAATATCAACAAATTTGGCCCAGTGGTTACAGAGATATGACAATTTGAAAATTGACGGGTGCACCCATTTTGGCCAAAAAAGGGCATGTCGTAGCGGGAAAACCGTTCGTCCGACGGAGCTGAAATTTGAAATTTCAGCTTTTTCAGCCTAAATTACCCCATAAACCAAATTTTAGCCAATTTGAAAAGGGTAAGGTGTAACCCTTTGGGTGATCTGACACAGAATGACCCCATATTTGATTATAGTGACAATTAATTTGCAAATGGCGCCTTCAAAACAAGTGCACCCATAATGCACCTGATTCAGACAAAAAGGCAACCAGTTCCGATTGGCAAGTTACTCACATTTTTGGCGACATACTCCTTGCCATGGCCAGCCAAATTTGATCCATACTGCACGGCCATTGCAGCCATGGGATCGTTGAAAATCTGTTCGCCATAATGCTGAGCAGGTTCTGAAGGATGACCGGTTGGCATGTAACCAGGGTAACCTGCTGTACCAGGTGCCATGTATGCTTGCTGTGGTGGATAACCCTGTGAATAGCCTTGTGGATAGGTTTGAGGATAGCCTGCAAAATGATGCATATGCTGGCATTAAACCAACTTGCCTATTTACGAGGTGTGTGTAAGGAAACTCGTGACGGATATATATTTACATACATGTAGCAATTTAGACAATGATAGAAGAGAAGACACTAATAACTAAATATGGTGTCAGAACATGTACACATAATACATATTTATACTGTTGTTCTTGATCAAGGCAATATCTTTGCAATTAAGGAAATAATCAGATTAACAGGATCTTTCACTAATCCATGTGTTATAACACTATGCAATATAAAAAGTCTCTGAATTCTATATTTTTATGGCAGCCATGATACAATCTATCATATTCACTGACCACATTTTAAATAATTAATCAAGTAATATTATTAACATATATATTATTAAATTTCAATAGTTTTGTTCGTTTAGCTACTTACCACCCTATACATGACCCTAACTGCACGCTTACCAGGTGACTGTCCATATGTGCCAGCGGGTGGATGCATACTTGTGTCATCAAATAACTGTGGCTGTTGATGCCTCTTGCTCCGCTGCTTCGACTTCTTAGCTGCAAATTACACTCGTACCATATAACAAACAATACTCTACAACTTCAAACAGCAAGATGATCTTATTCATCCTAAAAATAATAAAGAAATGGAATAGCTCAAACTTCCCAAATCCTGTAAAAGTTGCAACGATCGTCCCTTTCACAAGACCATGATCAAGCGTTACTGAACCATATTCTACCACTGTCCCTAAGAAAATGCTCATTACATTTTCATTTCATTTTTCAACAGCCAGTCATGGCTTTAGAATGACTGCACTTACATTTCTGTTGAACGTATGATATTACTATTACTATTAGCACACAAACAGGATTGAATAATTTCTCTGATAGACTATATATATACTAGTCTATAGACTATATATATAAAATAAGGATGAAAAAACAATAATAATAATTATATTCTTATATTATAATTATTAAATTATATATATATAGGCTATAACTCATAGTATTATTCTCCGCGCTCCATCCAATACCTAGAGTGTACAACGGAAAAACGGGAAAATAGTGCTATTTCACGACTACATTATTCTACTTTGCCTGCGAGTCTAGAATAATTTCATGGTATTGCATTAAAGCGATTCCTTGCTCTCTACAACAAGACCAACCGCTTGTCAATACGATACTCCTAGGCTGAGATATCGGCTCCTAAACCTCCCCTCCCACATGCCAAACGCCGCTCGAATCCACTTCTGCCAGCATCCTACACGCGGGTAAGCATTTTGGCTATCGTTTCCGTCCACCACTTGGAGCGCTGATAATTGATGTCATATGCCCAAATTTGGTACTGTTCACTACACTTAGTAACTGAGCTGCGTTGTAAAAACTTGATGGAGCCGGCTCCATCATGACGGGCGTTAGCCGTGCTAGGAAAGATAATGGAAGATAAGGGCATAGGGCGATGCCCCGAATGTCACCTATTGATAACCGAAGCACCGTTCATTCATAAATTTATCGCGGAAAAACCGAACTTTCACGAAGCAACGCTTAGCCGCGTTGTAGGATGCTGGCAGAAGTGGATTCGAGGCGGCGTTTGGCATGTGGGAGGGAGGTTTAGGAGCGATATCTCCGCCTAGGAGTATCGTTATTGACAAGCGGTTGGTCTTGTTTTAGAGAGCAAAGAATTGCTGCTTAATGCGAATACCATGAAATTATTCTAGACTCGCAGGCAAGTAGAATAATGTGTCGTGAAATAGCACTATTTTCCCGTTTTTCCGTTGTACACTCTAGGTATTATTAGCTCTTGATATATATATATATATATATATATATATGTGGTATTTGTCCAAAAAATAGGAAAGTAGTAAGACTAAGACACTCCGATGTCCAACAGTGGCCGTGGGCCACTGAATGGAGGGCAAATGGCACTGCGAAGGGAACATGGCATGTCCTTGCATAGGCAGGGGTGCTCGAGATTGAAAAGAGACTTTTTTGAATTTTCAGTGCCCTTAGATGCAATTTCAGGCCATCTCACAGAATCAGAATCTTTATTGAAAATATCAGAATATCGGAATTCTGTCAAAAATCAGAACTTACAGCTCTGATTATAATAATATATTATTATTATTTTAGATAAACCCTAAAGAAATGCTAAACGGTGTTGCCTTGTAGGTGTGGCCTAGAAAAACATAATTGTTTATAAATTATACAAAATTATGATTATAAAAATCTCTAAACAATTCCCGTCAATAACAATGAAATTTCATGCTTTCTCTCACCTATAAAACTGTTTTGTGGCGAGTGAGCTTCTACTTTACTTTTCATTAATTTCAAAATTAGAATTAAAGAAAAACAACAAAGCCGAGAATAACTTACATGCACATTAAAACTAGAAAAGACAGTTGACAGTTGTCGCCAACTACATGTATCCCCTGTGTTCTCCCCAAGATGTGTAAGTATACGAAGTTTGGTCGTGCTAGGTCAATTAGGGGCCAAGTTATAGAGTGGAAGGGAAATATGATGAAGGTCAAGGTCGAGGTCAATGTCAAATAAAGGTTGCAGTGACCTGGTTTCGGTACGCGACACACATTCTCCCCAAGATGTGTAAGTAAACCAAGTTTGGTCGCGCTAGGTCTATTAGGGGCCGAGATATAGAGCGGAAGAAAAATATGATCAAGGTCAAGGTCAAGGTCAAGGTCAAATAAAAGCCGCAGTAACTTGGTTTTGTATGCAACACACATTCTCCCCAAAATGTGTAAGTATACCAAGTTTGGTAGCGCTAGGTCAATTAGGGGCCGAGTTATAGAGCGGAAGGGAAATATGATTAAGGGCAAAGGTCAAATAAAGGTCGTAGTGACCTGGTTTCGGTAGCGCTAGGTCCATTAGGGGCCGAGTTATAGAGCGGAAGGGAAATATGACTTCGTCAGATGAGCTAAAAATGAATGAAAAGGCCACAATAGCAGTTAAAACACGTGTAGGACTGTAGGACTATCTGAAACATTTGAAATCGATGAAATAGTGCGTCAAGTTGTGTTAGGCCCAATCTTATGTTGTATCACGTTAGACCAACAAGTACATAATTATGGTACACCGATCTACATGTATGGGAACTCAATAGAAATCATGCCTCTTTTATATATGAATGATATCCTGGAAATTGGAAATTGGGACCCCATGCAGTGGCATAGCTAGGATTTTTTCAGCAGGGGAGCACTGGGGGGGCCTTACATTTTCGTGGGGAGGCACAATATATAATTTTACTGAGATGTGGTTCGAACCCTCTTTCTTTGTACTATACTGTTCTAACGGCATTGTTTTTAATTCAAATTTTTTTTTATCAAGCAAGAATTTTCAGTGGGGGGGGGGACCTGGGGAAGCACAGAAAATTTGTGGGGGGAAGCACGTGCCCCCCCCCAGGCCCCCCCGTAGCTACGCCCCTGAGACCATGACAAAAATGGCTCAAGCGTGTACTAGGCTGGCTGAAGAAAAATTGCTACAATTTAATATGAAGACAAATGCCCAAATAGCAAAGAAAAACAGATTCTTCTCGGAGATCAAATAATAAAAAGATGTAGTAAATATACATTATTACATACTTAGCCGAGATATTAAGTGAAAAAGAAGGATATAAAGAAATGATAAAACAAAGAACAGATAAAGATCGATTTATGATGAGTGAAGTCATATAAATTATCTATGGCTAATAAACAAAATTTTGAAAACTATGCAATAGAAGCACGTGTTAAAAACTTTATGAATGCACTGTAGTGCCGTCACTACTAAATAATAGAGAAACTTCTACTAATCTGGCTAAGAAAGAGAAAAAAATGGTAGAGGATTTCCAAAATAAATGTTTTTAAGAAGGATATTCGAAGCGCACAGCAAGACACCACTAGAGGCACTAAGAATAGAAAGTGGAATAATACCAATAAAAGATTGCAATACATTGCAATCCAATGCATTGCAATCCAATGCAATGCATTGCATCCAATACATTGCAATACATTGCATAAAATATTGCAATACATTATTAAGTTAGAAAATGACAGATTAATGAAAAGAGTATTTTTAGAACAAATTAAAGAAATTGGAAGTAATTGGGCAAATGAGGCTTTAGAAATCTAGGAGTATGACATAAGTATGTCACTTATGACTATTGGTTCACAACATAAGAAACAATGGGAAAAAATATGTGGAGGCTATTTTAAAAACAGTAATTATGAGAGATACCATGAGGTCAGGTGATAAAACAAAAATGAAAATGATAAATATCGAAAGCTATGTATTAAAGCCTTATATGACAAAACTGTCATTTGATGATGCATGCTTTGTGTTTAGGTGTAAAGGCCAAGACACACTGCAGCGACAACGACCGACCGTAACGACAAACGACAACAGTCGCGGCGACTGGCGCATCCACACTGCAGCGACAACGACCGACCGTAACGACAAACGACAACAGTCGCGGCGACTGGCGCATCCACACTGCAGCGACAACAACCGACCGTAACGACAAAGTTTACCCAGCAGTGGCAGACAGTGGCAGACCTGCACCCAGCCAGTGGCACACGAGCAAACGGCAAAAAAACTCCTGCTGCTGCTTTTAAATAAATTGCTGTAAAACCGCTCTATGTATAACAATAATATAATAAAGTAATATATACGCAGCATATTATACGAACGTACACAATAATCACATCTGATGGCTGACGTAGCCTTGCACGTTTTGGTTAGACGGGTTTGCGGCCCCACTGTTTCTGACAGGCGGTGCGAGTTTAGCGCTGGGGACCAGTCTACTTCCTGGCTAGCATTGGTTTATAATTTTATGACATAATGGCGATGTCACGTGCCGATGGAAACGGCTGTGATTGGCCATTTGTAAAGTGTCGCTGGCGAAAGTCGCTCGAAAATAGAAACGTTTCTAAATATTTTTGTTGTTGAGGTTGTCGTCGGTCGCCGTTGCGTCAGTGTGCAATGGCTCATAGGAAACAATAGTTTCTAATTTTCTGAAAAGTCGTTTGTCGTTACGGTCGATCGTTGTCGCTGCAGTGTGTCTTGGCCTTAAGACGTGCATGATAAACTTAAAAAGTTATTTTAAAAATAACTACAGTAATGATATATGTGATTTGTGTGCCAGGGTTCGAAATTAACACTCGCACACTCGCAAAATGCGAGTGGATTACCGAAATTGCGAGTAGAAAATATAAGCACTTGCATTTTTGTGCGAGTGACATATAATCTGTTGTGATGACTATCAAAATCTAAACATCCCATATCCAGGCATTTTAAAAGTAACAAGTTGTCAACATAAGTCATAACGGAACTAGACCAACCAATTTCTGCAAAATTATAAACACGTACTGTCTACAAACTGAGTAACGATTATAAACCTCGCGCGACCGTCGCTACCGAGAGTATTCTCTCTTCACGCTTTGTAGCCAGGTTTAATAAAGTTGTCTCAACATTATATAACATTTGTAAAGTAACTAAAAAGATAACCTTTTTAATTGAAGTGTTATCATATTATACACTTCAAAAATAATTATATTAAAAATGCGAGTGTTTCGGATTTTGCGAGTTGAAATTTGATCCACTCGCAAAAAATTGCGAGTGATTTCAAAAGTTAAATTCTACCCCTGTGTGACGAAAGGAAAAAATTAAATTTGGAACGTTTATATTAATGTAATTACTAATTGTAAGGTATATGGAGGGTATAATAAAGGGGAACGAGTTGAAGATTGGAAAAGTGATGACCCGAAAATTCTAAAACCCTGCCACTAGAATATGTTAGAAAGGCATTATCAATCAGAGAAAGTAAAATAATTAATGCTAATTTGTAGACAGAATTTCCTTATCTACAGGATTTCCCCGCACATTCCAAAGAGAGAATCAGTGCCTTGTGAAATACAAGAGAGGGACCCCAAGATACAAGATACAAGATACATAGTCCTACCGCACGTATGCCACTCACTGTGCACAAAAACGGACCGTGTTTCAGTGCGACACTGTCACTGACTACAGTCCGAGTACAGACTCAGTCAGAGATGTGTAACACAACATCATTGAACATGTTAGACCGAATAATTCTGTCCCATATAACCTTTTTTTATATTTTGGTGAGGGTTATATTGGGACAGAACGGGGTTCATTGAAATTTCGTAAGATCGCATGCAAAATGCATGCGCTGCTAATGCGGCCTGTACGCCGCTATTGGCGCGAAAAAAAACCTACCGTTCCCTTCTACATGGCTTTACCTTGCTACTGATATGTGTATACATTCACTTCAATCGTTATTTACTTAGAACTTAAAAGATTGTTTTTCAGAAACCCCGCTTCATTAACTTTAGTAAATTACGTTGGCCATTTACAAACAAACAGACCAATCACAGCGAGTCTATCAGGCCTCCTGCAGCGCCACAGATACAAGCGAGAACCAGGGCTATTGTAAGACTCGCTGTTATTGGTCTGATTGTTTGTAAATGGCCAATGTAATTTACTAAAGTTAATGAAGCGGGGTTTCTGAAAAACAATCTTTTAAGAAGTAAATAACGATTGAAGTGAATGTATACACATATCAGTAGCAAGGTAAAGCCATTTAGAAAGGAAAATTGGGTTTTTTTTCGCGCCAATAGCGGCGTACGGGCGGCCTTAGCGGTTCAAGGATAGAGAACATGGGTCCCAATAAAACCAATGTCATTTACATCAATATAAAGATAATATTATATCAATATAATAGGTTAGGGTTATGGTTAGGGTTAGGTGTTAGCAAATCTCTAATTTCCTTTAGTTCCGAAGAAATTTGTTCTACCATCTCGGTAATACGTCTCGCTGATGGAGTAGCACCAAACAAGAACAACCAACACGGTGGCGCCACCTCACGGTGCGCCACCGAGATAAACCGGAGGTCACTCCATGCTAGACTGACTACAATTAGGGTTAGGGTTAGGGTTAGAATTAGGGTTAGGGTTAGGCATATTGGTTTTATTGGGACCCATGTTCTCTATCCTTGGGCCGAATTATTCGGTCTATCATGAACATGTGTATTAACACAACAACTGCTTTCTTAGGCACAACATCCACAATCATATAATATGAACGGCATGCCTAGATAGGAAGCAACGTACACTTACGATTTCTAGTACCTGTGGGAGGATCCATATTAACTTCGTTTCAGTGTCCGACTTTGATTTTTAATATTGTGCTAGATAACTAACTTTGATCTATGCTTCGATGTCGATCTGCTATTTGTAGCCTCGTTTTAGAGTAGACTCACCCTCTCACGTCAGACGGCAACGTAGCCGATACTACTACTAGCGCTACCTGGAGGAGGGAGTTGCTAGCGCCGCTGTAAAAATTGCAAAAATTATTCATTGCCATTATTTGATGTGTTATTACATTATTAACATGTTATTAGATGTTAATTTGATACACCTCACGATTAGTTTACCCGAGTGCTGAATAGTCATCAGGTTTTTAGCACAATGATGAATTTATAAGAAACAAGAAATAAAATGAGAAGAAGAATTTGGCAGGCGGCTACACCGGACATGACGTCACGCTGGTGCCGACAACGCCGGATGTTTTGCGTATACAAACACTTGGTAAGTATTATGTGCGTCTTGTATAAACCCGTCAGACTTTTGCGTTTAGAAGCGATTATAAACTGAACTACACATTTACCTATGAAGTACTTATATAGCGCAGTGCTATGGTTCTTTTGCTTTGTCATTTGTAGACATTGATGATAACTGACATTAGTCAGATAGCGGCATAGCCAGTTTTCAAATTCCCGCGCTTGAAGTTGAACACCCACTCTGGCACTCAGTTACTAACTGAGTGCCAGAGTGGGTGTTCAAGCGCGGGAATTTGAAAACTGGCTATGCCGCTATCTGACTAATGTCAGTTATCATCAATGTATACAAATGACAAAGCAAAAGAACCATAGCACTGCGCTATATAACTTATAAGTACTTCATAGGCAACTGTACGCGGGCTATAGTTAAACTAGAGCTAGCGCTCAGTTTACTGAGTTAGCTCCAAGAAACGGTATTGCTAGGGTTAGAATACCATATGGTCTGACATTTACTGTCAGACTCCATGATTTGACATAGGCAGGAGTCCGTGTGACTCCCTGAAAATTCTGCCATACTAACTAATTCGCTGGAATTACTCTGCTATTTTATCAGCTAATAGTAATAGTAATATTCAAAGAAAATTGGCAGACGTGCAACTGCATTAATCTTAAAAATAACGCAGTGGCTGGAGGTACGGTAGCCGTCGGTCGTTGAAGCCCCTTTTTGGCGTTAGGGTTAGGTTTAGGGTTAGGGTTAGGTTTAGGGTTAGGGTTCTAGCTCATCTAAACTCTCAAATCGTGAATTTATTTCCCAAGGCGTTATTTCGAAATCTGGCGCCACCGCCGCCATCTTTGTCTCGTTAAGTATGAAAGCGAATGGACTCCCGTACCCGTAGCCTCGAGACATTAAGATACGGCTGCAGCGAATACGTAGTGTGATTGCCGTACCCGTAGCCTCGAGACATTAAGATACGGCTACCGTTCCCGTAGCCACTGCCTAAAAATAAGCACATGAGTTATTGTTAATATCTTTAATTTTGAACCTCAGACTGCGGACTCCCTCATTTTGCTGCGGACTCCCTCTTTTCGAGGGTAGGTAGTCCGTTGGACTCCCTTGTTCAAAAGTTAATTTCTACCCCTGCTACTTTCACCTCCACTGTTCCCAAATCTAGTTTGTCCAGTCTTTCTTTCACTGACTGAACAGCGCATTCAGCTAAGCCATTTGAAGCAGGATATGCTTCGGAGCGACTTTGATGTGTATAATTCCATTTTTGCTAATGAACATCTGAAACACTTCACTAACGAAATTTGTTCCATTGTCTGTGACAATCGTATCCAAATGTAGCTAAAGCCATCCTGAACTTTTCCACTGTGCACTCAGCTGTACTAGACGACATGCCGTGGACGTCCATCCACTTGGTATAAGCATCTACGATGATGAGCAACATTTTGCCCTTATATGGACCAGCATAGTCCGCATGTAACCTCGACCATGGTTTCGACGGAAATCCCCAAGGATGTAACAATGTCCTGGGAGCAGGGAAAAAATAACATTTTTTTTACCGGAGGTCTTTTTCAAGTCTGTGGAAAAAATAGCTCTCGTGAATAATTTTACGGGAGCTATCTTAAGCCTCATGGGAGTGATTTCATTGGTTTGAAGAGCGAATCGCTCATTGCTCCGGTGTATTTTTTACCCTGCCTTGGAGGTGCATGTCTCCTGATTTGACAGGTTTCACAATCTTTTAGTCTATTCTCTAGATCTCTATCTAGCCTCGGCTACCAGATGTAATTACGCACAAACGTTTTCATCCGCACTATCCCCGGGTGAGCTTCATGAACCATCTCAACAATGCGATTTTGAGCGGCCGCAGGAACTATCACACGAGCTCCCCAGAGTACATAACCCCCCTGCAGTGACAGTTCATCTTTCCTGGCAAAGTACGGTTGGAGTTCCTCTCCATTTTTCTCCGGCCAACCTATGTCAACAAAGCATCTGACCCGAGATAGCACAGGATCCCGATCAGTCAAGTGGCTAATTATATCAACATCAATGGGTGATGTGTCTGTGAATGCAACCAGACACACCGTTTTTGCTGGCATGGACACTTCCTGTTCTGTATCAGGTAACGGTAACCTACTCATGGCATCTGCATTCGCCAAAAGTTCACTTGGTTTGTAATGTAAATTAATGTATGTATGTATGTACTGATACGCACTCAACGTCAACGCCCATCGCTGAAGTCTGCCTGAAGCAAGCGGCGGTATTGGCTTTTTCTCACCGAGCAGAGCCTCTAACGGTTCATGGTCATTGTAAATCGTAAAGTTCTGTCCGTACAGGTAGGTGTGAAACTTTTTCACACCCCACACAATGGCTAGTGCCTCCTTCTCCAACTGAGAGTAATTGCGCTCCGCCGGTGCCAGAGTCCTAGACGCGAAACTTATGGGACGTTCAGACCCATCTTTGAACTTATGCCCTAGTACAGCCCTAATTCCGTAGGGCGAGGCATTGCATGACAGTACTATGTCTTAATTTGGATCATAGTAAACAAGAAAGGTAGCGGCTTGTAGTAGGTCCTTTGACCAACGAAATGCACGGTCCTGCTCTGGCCCCCATTGGAAACAGACCTGTTTCTCAAGGAGTTTGTGTAATGGCTGCAGTTCTGAAGAAAGGTTTGGGATGAATGTCGCGTAGTAGTTCGAACCAAAGTGATTGCACGCACCTTCTCCTCAACCAATTGTAGCCAAGTGAAACGTCGATCGGAGTCAGGAGCACTAAACGCCTGTTTATTTAAAGTAATTATTGTTAAGTCATAATTAGTTATTAAGTTTTCCAGTGTTTTCCCCACTTTCATGATACCTACCGTTATTGCTTGAGTAACAGCAATTGTCTGGAGTAACGATAAAATGCCTTAGAACCTTATACAGGGATGGGAATGTGTGTATGAGTGCCGCGCGTGCTACGCAGGCCGTATATATATATATATAGTACGCGATCGATCGATCGTGTACATCAAAGGCCGCCGCGTCACGCATGACCTTGAGGCTCCTTTTTATGAAGTACGAACTGTTTCACTTCTCGCCAACGAAGTTCTGTTTATAATACATATATACATAACCATAAAAGGTGGTGTCGCGAGCTGCTTTTTTCGGTGTCACAAGTATGCTCCATATAGCAATGTAAGGTTCTAACCGGATCTAGCTTAGTAACCGTGCTACCTGGGATAGTAACCGTGAACCCTTTTCTGTCAGTGTCGTTTTTAATGCCGTGTAACCGTAACTGAAGGCTGCCATCGCCCAAAAATTGAACCATATCCGCAGTAAACAACACTCTCTGTACTTAATTTGTCCGAGTCAAAGACTTTGCCCTTTGGGGCCACATCTGACGGCCTAAGCATGACCGTGAGTGCCAACAACGTAATTGCCTTCAACCGAAGGTCTTTGATGGGCAACTGATCATTCGATGCCCATGACATAAACAAGTCTCTGAACGGCGTTATGGGTAATATGCTAGTACGTGTCATCTAGGCACTTTAGTACCAGATTTGGTTAGTGCCACAACTAGCTTCTGCAAGTCAAACGAGTGTAACACATCTGGTTGGTCTTTAATAGCATACCACGCACCAACCGCTGTTTGAACGGTACGCAACCGTGATGCAGGTCTTTCCGAAGAGTCTGCGGTAGCGCACAGAAAATCTGCCAAGCCCGCACTATCCACGGGTGGAAATGGCAGTTTTCTCCCATCACAAAATGACTGCAGTCTATTCAAACTTCTGTTATAACCATGCAAAGTGGACACGGCCCAGCAAAGTGGTGCCTGAGCAACTGCTCTGTCAGACCAGCCTACCTTCCGCAACTTTTCCCGCCATATACTCTCCAGGCACACAGGCGCCACCTTCTGTTTTTCATCGGTTCCGGTATCGCCCCAAAGGCGAGATATGCCCTTGACGTTTGTGGCAGAAATATTGGCGGACTGACCGACAGCTGCTGCAGCTCGGCCATCCATGGCTGTGCCTTCCAAAATGGTGCAATTACCGTTGCCCAGGCTTTCTGCGCTTTTATGACCTGCAACACCTGCTGTATCAGGTAAAACGGCGGGTTCACAAAGTTGTTGTGTTGTGCCCAATCTGTCTGCCCGAGTGCATCCACTCCCACGCTTAGTGGGTCGTAGTAGAGACTGTTGAAACAGGGTAACTGATGGGTCAACATGTCTGCAAACCTGTCTATGGTATGTTGTCCCC